CCCCCCCCCCCAATTCAAATTCACATGTTGAGATCCTAACACCCAATGTGACCGTATTAGGAGGGTGAGGCCTTTGGAAAATGACTAGATCATGAGGGTGGAGCCTTTATAATCACAAGGTTCATGCCTTATAAAAGAGGCTCCAGAAAGATCCCAGCCCCTTCTGCCATGTGAGGACACAGCAGGAAGTCAGCAGTCTGCAACCTAAAGGGGGCCATGACCAGGACCCAACCATCCAGCACCCTGATCTCATACTTCCAGCCTCCAGAACTGTGTGAAATAAGTTCTGTTATTTATAAGCTACCCAGTGTGTGTCATTTTGTCATAGCAGCCTAAACAAACTATGACAAGAGTAATGGAAAAAGCAGTGGTATGGCATCTAGCATTTGTGAAATCCTGGCATTAGCAAGAAGGTCGGGTTGAACGGACAGTGCCTTACCAAACTTCCTCAAGTTGTTGAATTAGCTCGGTGCTTATGGACACGTGGAAGCTTGTGGCTTTACGTGCATGTTTGAATTGTTGCCAACCTTCCTCTGATCCAGCGACTCCTAAGTTAAGTAATGTAAAGCACTGCTCAGGGCATGTAAATTAAGTCTTTTTATCTGATCGAACTCAAAGGCGTACCACTGTAACTTGCTGGAGTCACCAGTCATGCCTTCTGATTCAGTAAGTGGTTTAAGGAGGGCTGATGTAGTAACACAGACTGGGCATCAGCCAGCCTCCTTCCACGTTGCATGCCAAGCCATTCTGCTCTGCCTCCAGTGGCCTCAGAGAGTCCCCTGTTCACAGATGTCACCTCCATATGTTCAGAAATTTAGAGATTGGGTTGGATTAAGAAACTCATCCTTTGAAATGTAAACAGTCCTTTCAAATGGTAAAATCACTCTCCTTCTATAAATTATTTCACTGTGATTGAATGATTTGGCTTTTTATTACCTTAGTAAGGTTCTTGGAGCCTTGAGGGAATGAAGCTTTACTCAGTGAAACAATGATTTTTGAAGGATGGGGTACTTCCAGTGAGGGCAACTCTGGGGTAGGGGTCAGAGCAGGGATTTGGGTAGTGAAGGGATGTGAGGAGGTATGAGGAAGGCAGCGAAGGAGAAGGGATTTTGAGGAGGATGTCAGACATGAACTTCACCTACTTAGCAGTTTTGTGATCGCCCCACCTCTGTGCACATCACCTTCTTCCTTGGGGCCTCTAATCTTCTGCCTAATGGCCAGTGTGCAGTTATCTTGAGTGGCTTCTATACAAGCACCCTCAGTGGAACCCAAAGCTAAACTGAAAGTCCTACTGCACAGGTCTTCCCTTCAGCCATTGCAAGCAGTTCCCTCAGTGGGATAGCCAAGCCCCACAGGCAACCTGGGGCAGTTCCAGCAGACTGTTCTGCAAGCTAGACATGAGCAGCTCTGTCAGGTCTCCTGTCTAGAGCAGGCCTGGAACCAGCAAGGGCTGTCCCAGGTCAGAAGCAGGTTCTTGGGGAAGTCAATGAGTCAGTAAGCCCCTCGGGTTCTGGCAGCCCACAAGCCTATGACACCTGGTATGTCATGAGGACAACAGTGAAGCCATTTTGGTTTTAGCCATTGGCACAGTAAAGTTCCAGACTATGTTGTACATTCCAGGGCATTAAAATACCATGCCCATTTTGATAAATGTAGAAGTAATTGCCTATTTTCACTTAGAAAATGTTATAGCACAAAAATGTGAAAGGAAACAGTGCTCTGCTTCTTTGTTTCATTCTCTAGACTTAAAATGGTGGCCTGTGGAGTCAGTTCTTAAGTTTCTAGTAATGATCATTGTTAGGGTTTAATGTCACTTCCCTTCAATTTGCTGGTTGGTGTCTTACCAGATGAAATCTATGGGAATAGCTTGATTTCTACTGTGATCGATAGCTGCAACTGCTCGGACTCCAGTGACATCGAACTGAGTGATGACTGGGCTGCCAAGAAATCTCCCAAAATTTCCCAAGCGAGCAAATCACCCAAGCTCCCAAGGTAATCTCGCTCTTCGGGGTGTTTGCCCTTTTTTGTGTCCCTGGAGGTGTATCTGTATTTTGCCTAGAGAAGAATCCCATTGAAACCAACACCAGGAGAGCACAGTGAGACCAGCATCCCCGCCTTTCACCTGGAAGGTCTGCCTGCAATTGTTACTACTTTCCTTTCTTCTTTCTTCAGAACAGAAAAAGACACCCAGGAGGAAGTTTGCTAAACCCCAGGGCTTCTCGGGGGGTCAGTGCTGATGATGGGCGGCATGGGTGGCCAGAGCTCCCTGGTGTACTTTTTTTTCCTTCCAGGTTGAGAAAAATCAGAAAAAGGTTTTACAGTGTAAGTAGCCAAATTTAATGCCTATAATACTGCAATTGGGGGAAAAATAGTTAACAAAAAAAAACTTTAACCCCTAAAGGTTTGTTTAAAAACTGGCAAAGAGCTATAAGAGCAGGTGGAAGGGCCTGTGGTGTCTCAGGTAAGAAGCGTCACCTTTCTCACCCTGCTGCATATACCTATGGGCTGTGTAAATGGCCCAATCCTGAGCTGGATACCAATGTCCTTATTTGTAGAAGTTCGTTGGTAGACCAGATCCTCACTAAGATAGATCCCTTCTAGCTCTGAAATTCTGTGATGCTGCACAAGATTAAAATACAGTTTACATACAGATACATACCTGCCCAGATCTGAAACACAGAATTCATTGTGCAGCCAGTTAAGGCAGTGTATTCACCACCCAGTTGAAGTTAAAGGACATTCCATCATCCCGGAAAGTTCCCTGTGCAGCCTCCCATTCGATCCCCACTCTCTAGAACAATCACTGTTCTAACTTCTGTCACCATAGATTAGTTTTGCTGCTTCTTGACCTTCACATAAATAGAACCAAGCAGTGTGTACTCTTTTATTTGGCTTTTTTGCTCAATATAATGAATTTGAGTTTCACGCATGTTGTTGTGTCTGTCAATTTTTTTGTGTGTGTGCTGTGGATTCCACTGTAGTGAGCATACTACAACTTACTCCATTTACTAATTCATAGGTATTTGGTGGTTTACAGTTTGGGGCTATGATGAATGAAACCATTATAGAGCTTCTTATACACGTCTTTTTGTGAACATATGCACACATTCAACTCCGACATGTGCTTTAGAAGGTGAGTTGCAGGGCCATGAGTAGATATGTGTTTAACTTTACTGGAAACTGCCAAACAGTATTCCAAGGTGTAGGTACCATTGTGAGTTCTCATCAGCAGTATACAAGGGTGTCAGCTGCTTCCTTTTCACCTACAGTTGTATCGTCATTTAAAAATTTTTACCCATTCTGGTGGGTGTACAGTGGTATCTTGTAGTTTTATCCTAATATCTCTAATGATTGATGATGCTAAGAAGTTCTTTATATGTTTACTGGCCATTTGGGCATCTTCCATTGTGAAGTGTCTGTTCAAGTCTTTGACCCATTTTTTATTGAGTTGTAAGATTGTTTATGTATTCTAGCTCTGATTCCATTGTCAGATATGTATACTGCATATAGTCTAACACATTAATGAAGTCCTTCTCTTATGATTAGTGCTTTCTGTGCCCTGTTTAGGAGATCTGTCTACTGTGAGGTCATAAGACACTCTTCTGTTCTCTTCCAGAAGCTTTGTAGTTTTAGCTTTCACACTCAGATCTCAGGTTCATTTTTGTGTGTAGTGTGAGTTAGAGGTAAACATTTATTTTTTCCCATATAGATATCCAGTTGCTTCAGCAATCTGGTTGTTTTTTTTCATCTTTGTTCTAAGCTTGTTAAAATTGCTCTTGTTAAAATAAAATTATGAGCTTTCCTACACTTCTATAGTGTTTCAGATTTTCCTGTAACTTAAGCAGGAAATTTAACACATATCTAAATCCTTCACCTGTGAGTGTCCTTTTAAGGCTTCTGGATGTTGCCATCCCCATAGTTAGTTCTCCTTCCTTCCCTCTTTCCTTGCGTTGAATCCCCTACACACAGCAGGCAGGTTCATCTCCTCACACAAGGCTTTAAGCAGCTCAGGCCCACGCCCTCCCATTCTGTGGGAGTGCTAGGTGTCTTATCAGGCTCGATCGTACCTGTGAGGCGTAATGCTTTTCTTTCCTAGACTATCATCAACCTGACTGTATTCATTTTTATATCACTCTCTTTGGGTTGCACTGGCATTAAACACCCATGTCCCCATGTTACACACAAAGTAACTTGAGGACCACAGATAGAACATAGGATCAAAAGGCAGCAGAAATTTTTCATTCCACTTATTCTTCCTTCCACTTATTCTTTCTAAATATTGTGGGCGTGAAATGCTAGATTAAGTCTGTTGGAATCCAGATGTTGTACTAGGAATTATAAAATCCCTGGGGTCATAAGATGAGAAATGACTCTTCCCACTGCCATTTCCCCCGGGACTGATTTTCCAAACCCCTGGGAGAAGATGTGGGCATTTCTAAATTTACTCTAAGTCAGTAGAAAGTGAAAGATGGTTAATTCTCTAAGGTTCCTTACAAATAAATGGCCTGATCTAATCTCACTATATTTTAAAATGTGCATTATTCAGTATACAACTGTTCTCCTTTTCTCCTGTTTATAAAGCAAAAACAAGCGGGAATACTTGGTTAAATCAAGAGTCCTGGCTCCTAAGATTGTGACACCTACGAATGACTGCTGGGAGGTGAAGGGGGCATGCCAGGAGTGCGGATGCCTTTGGGCCAGGTGGCACACTCCTTCCCTGCTGTGGGTGCCTAACCCTCTGGCCTTGTCTCTGCAGGATCAACATTGAGGCTCGGAAGTCTCCCAAGCTGTCCCGGGCTGCTCAGGAGATGTCCAGGTCCCCTCGGTTGCCAATGCGCAAACCCTCCATTGGCTCACCCAGCCTGACGCGGAGAGAGTTTCCCTTTGAAGACATCACTCAGGTAGTGTCTGGGTTGCGGGTTGGTCACACGAGTCTGAACTTTATTGACTGAGAAAACAGATCATTGAGTAGTTTCAGCATGGTGTCAGTGCAGCTGATAGTTTCAGGAAGAACATCTAAGATAAAAGTGGATTCAGAGCCAGATACCCTCTCTAGTCCAATGATTGCGGGAAAGGAGAGGTGAAGGTGAATGTGCCCAAATCCCATTTGTGGCCTTTTGAACTGACACACATGCAGACACACTGGGACTGGGACACATCTGCCTCTCACTTCCAACCTGAGGAGTACAGCTTGGTGAACCCCCAGTTGAAAATGGGTGGTGACATGCTGCAGTTAGCTTCTGCTCTTCAACATGGCGGAATGAATGCTTCTGGCTGCCAACACCTGTGGCTCCTTAAGCACTGTTATCATTCTTACTAATAGGAAATATGGAAATAGATAGTGATGTTTCTTCCTTTTTTCCTCCTACAGCACAACTACCTTGCTCAGGTCACGTCTAATATCTGGGGAACCAAATTTAAGATCGTGGGCTTGGCTGCTTTCCTGCCAACCAACCTCGGTGCAGGTAAAACCACATCCTGTTCTTTGCCCGCTGTCTCGTTGATACTCAGGCTGAAGAAAACAATTTCAGCCTTCAGTGGCCTAAAGGAGAAAATGAATTCTATGACATCAAAACATTAGCATGCATTTTATCTCTAGCCTTTGGCTCCAGACACTATGATGTCACAAAAATCAGAATAATCACTCGAATTGGTGTTTTGCCAGTGGTGCTTTAATTTTTTAAAATTATCATCTCTAACTTATAAAAATGACAGAAAGAGTGAAAATCTCTATCAGAGCTCTGATAGGTTTCTGGTTGTTTTGACTTTTGGCCATTCACTTAGGCAGGTTTTTGGTACCAGTGCCTTTAGGTTCTTGAGCTAAAAGGAACTCCAGAAGAAAGAATTAGACTATAAGAAGCTGGCTGACTGTGAGCACAGCTTAGTGGCGAATCTTTATAGATGTCATTTCTAAGTACCAAATAAATATCCCGTCCATGAAAGTTTTAGACAGCGAGGAAAATGAAAGCAAGGGAGTCTGAAACTGGACTAGAATCCAGGATTTGCGTTCCCATCTGCTCCAGATGGATAGAGCGAGCAGTACTAACTTACCACATTTACTCAGAGACAGGAAGGTGTGAATGGCAGGAGGCCCTTTTCAATGCACTTTCATCCAGATGGACACTTCTTTATATAGGCCCAGGATTTGTGTTGCCCCCACACCTTGCTAGGCCACCTAATCATTTAACATGCACACGTGTCCCTGGAAAGCTGGCTTAGCCACGCAGGGTTCACCCGTGGCTAGTGGCCCCATCTTGACTGTGCTCTGTGTAATGTACTAGAAATGGTTTTTGAAAAATTCTGAATCTGCATATAAAGGTTATTTCAGACACTCTTATATCCTTTAAAATAAATTCTCGCAAATCAGGTATAAAAAAAAACCCATTGCTATATCTGCCTCTTCAGAGACTTATTAAATAGTGCTGCATTTGGATTTTTCATTTTGAGATTTTTTAGCTAAAAGAAAAAGAGGAATAAAAGTAAAACATAAAACTGACTTGAAAAATAACAGTAGTCTATCCCTGTACATAATGCAGACAAATCTTAGACTGTTTTCAACCACCCGCAAGCTGTCTGCTGACCACAAAGCTGTTCCTCAGTTATTCAGCAGTGCCCTGCTGATGTGTACAGTTGATTCTAAGAATCAGCGTGTGCACGTTATGATTATTCCCATGTCAGCAAGCTGAGAACTTAGCCATCTGCCTACATAAACACTGAAAAAGGAGTGGAGGTGAGAATTGGCTTGATGGGTCTTTTCATTCTGCCCTTATTCCTCAAGTGTTGAGTAAACCCACAAATAAGTTAACAAGGACCTTAGGATGAAAGGGCGTGGCCTGTATGTGCCTCAGAGCCATGTGCTGCTCCCATGAGGAATCTGAGTGCTCAAGACAAAAGCTGTCCGTGTGACTGCAGAGAAATCCCTGTCCTAATCACTGACCCTTTTTTAAAGAGTGTTTTGGCTATTCTCATTTGTCAAGCTAAAATAGTTTTCCACTTGATTCTACTTAAAAAAGGAAATTAAGTCTTGGGTTCTGAAAGTTATGTTACGTATTGCACCCTATTATAAATCTTTGACACTCTGGTGGGTTTAAAAGCGAATGCTATTCACATACTGGATAATTTGTTTCCTGCAATTAGAATAATTGGGCCATGTAATTTTTTTATTTTTAATTTATTGCATGTCTTAATTTTAAAAATATGGAATAAATTCAAAAGACGTAAAGGAGTCTAACACAGTAAAATCTCTCTCATTCTCACCCCCAGCCACCTACTTTTTTTCTCCTGGAGACAACTGATGTTATTTTTTTAATTCCTCCTGAGATTTTAAATTTTATTTCTCTTTGTTAATCTAAATGACAAAGAATTTCACTTTTCATACATTAGTTCTTAAGGTATATGGAACCATCCAGAATTTTAAAGCCAAAATTCATACTCTTCTGTGGTCAAGAGAGAGGAACATGTGAATAATGCCTGGAATGACCACTGGGTTGGAAAGTCACCTCAGCCCACACCAGTCCAAGCTCCAACCTCACAAAGGTACTTCAAAAAAGAGGGCTTGCTGTGCCGTGGGAGTGTTGGCCAGTCAGCCACCAGGCATTAGAGCTGATAATTGTGGAGGTAGAATTTGGCTTAACAAAACAAAAAAATGAACAATAGTAGTAAAAGAACTTCTTCATGGCTCACAGGAAAAAGTATTAAACATAAAAGAAAGTTTACAGGCAATTTCATCCTGATTTTAACCTACTGTGAAACTTAAATTCAGATTCATCATTATTTAATTTATTCATTTTAGAGGGAGAGAGAGAGAAACATTGATTTGTTGCTCCACTCATCTGTGCATTCATTGGTTGATTCTGGTATGTGCCCTGACCCGGGATTGAATCCACAACCTTGGCATATCGGGATGACTCTCTTACCAACTGAGCCACATGGCCAGGGCCAGACTCATTATTTTTAAACTTATTTTGTCTCCTCTCAATATTTTAGTTGCAGTCTAGCCTTTCTCTTAAAAATCTCTGTTAATCTTAGTGTTTAAAGACACCATGTGGAAGTTCCTGATAAATCTCTATGCTGATCATGAAATTGAAATTGAAAGTCATTAAGACAAGAATCCAGTCCTAAATAAAGGCAGCGTTTTATTTCTGCCTGATTCACGTCATCCCTTATCTCATAGTTTTTCTCAAATAGCTCCATGGATGCCCAAGATTGTCCTGAGCTTGGCAGTCTGGCTATTACAACTGTTTGCACTAAATTATCTTTCTGATTACAAACAAGGTTTTTAAAAATATATATCTATCATACCCCAGCTCATTCCAAAAAAGAATTTTAGTCTAAGATAAGTTTTTAACATTTTAAATGTGTGGTTCTACAGACAAACCATTGGCGAAATGGCTGGGCTAGACCAAGAATTTGGTGTCCCTGAACCCATACTGTGGCTGCGTGGCCGGTCATGCCCAGGGAGAGCTGCTCTCAGACTGGGCCCTGCCTGTGCAGCCTGTCTTCAGATCAGGAAAACCACCACCCCTTTCTCTTGCTGTGACCCTGTTGGCACCTTAGCTGTCGTCCTTGTGTTTCTACTGACTGTCTTTCCCCTCCCACCAGTAATCTATAAAACCAGCCTCCTGCATCTCCAGCCGCGGCAGATGACCATCTATCTCCCAGAGGTCAGGAAGATTTCCATGGACTATGTGAATTTACCTGTCTTCAACCCAAATGTGTTCAGTGAAGATGAAGATGATTTACCAGGTGTGTTCATACACGTCTCCTACTTTGTCATGAGCCCTCTCTTAGTGTGTTGTGATGGGACAGAGTGGTTATTGCTTCACAACGTCCTTGGAGCTTCCCAGGTGGAATCTGAAATGGCCCCTTACTTGGAGGGCAGGGAGAGACGGAAGAAAGAGTCAGGCCACTCCAGAGGGGTAGGTGGCAGTTTTAATGAGCAAAGGAACTTAACAGGCTTTTCTTGGGTGGCTTTAAGACTGATAGATTTCCACACCCATTGCCAGTATCTTAATAGTTTATGTAGAGGCCCTGGCTGGGGTCAGTCACATACACCATCCAGGGAGTCTCAATGCCACATTTCTGTCTCAAGGCTGGATCCTTGCAGTAGCTTCTGGGAGTGGGAAGGGCAAACGGAGTGCACATTCCAAGGACAGGGGAGGGAGTGGGGAGCCTCCATTGCCCGGGTCCAGCTCTCAGGTGTTCTGGTGGTGGTCCCATTGTCTTGAAGACCTACAGGAGGATTGCAGCACATCAGTTGTGCCTGCTGCCTCGGTTTGGGAAAGGTGTAACTCCCTCAGTAAGGTTGGCAGGTATGGTGGCACGACTCAGGAGAAAGGTAACATACTATCAGTCATTTGGGGAAGAGGGAAGCTACCAGAGCAAGGACTACTAAGGTGGCCATGCCACCTCATCTTTGCAGAGCGCTTCTACCATTTTGTTTTATCCTCACAGTCATCCCCTTAGTCATGTGCACAGACACAGAGAAATTAAAGGACTAACTAATCAGGACTCCATAATATCAGAACTGAGCCCCAGTCTTGTTGGCCCCAGGCTGGCCCTCATCCGTTTAATCCCTGCTCCAAGCAGGGCGTTACTTGAGTGCCCATGAAGCCTGGGATATAAAACCTGCTGCATCTCCAGACACCAAACCTGTACATTTCAACAGCTCTCTCCCAACACAGAGTGCATGTCTCAGTGTATTAGAAGCCTGGTCCAAGTTAAAGGTAAAATCTGATACAAGTTTTTTAAATCCCAGCTTACAATTTTTCAAATATCTATAGTGTTTTCTAGTGGGGGATTCTATTTTGATTAATAGATTACAGTGATTTCTAATTAGTCTGCCGATTATTTATATGTAACTATTCTCAAAAAAGTCCACCTTCAGTTTTATAAATACTATAGAGATGACTCTGCTTACATCCAGGCAAGGTTCTGAAGATCTCTGGTTTCTGAGCCAGAGGAAAGCCACATTCTCCTGTATCTGGTCATTCTCAAACAGGGGTTCTGGTCCTGGAGATGGGACAGGGAGGGACATCCCCACTTAGGCTCTGAACTTAGGGGAGTGGTTTACCTTCTCTCAGCCCAGGTTTTTACCTGTAAAATTATCTGTCCTGTGCTTTCTGACAGGAGCCATCATAGGTGGAATTCATGTTCTAGACTACTGCAGTCCTAATGGGGATGTTTGCAACCACATTAACCTGCAGTGTGGTGAAGCCCCACAAATTTGAGCCTTATAGCATGTCCCCTGCTCTTTCAGAATCTTGGATTTAGAAGTCTTACACAGTCCCCTAAATGCCCTTCCTGCTCTCTGATGCTGAGCCCGTTCCTGCTGCTGTCATTCCTGTCTATGGTTCCCAGCAAGAGGAGGGAACATTTTGTCTCAGGACTTACACTTAATGCTGGCGACATGGCAAAGAGACTCTCCTTTAGCAGGGATGATGCCTGCCCGCAGTATTCCGTACAGATGAAAGAACATCTGGAAGAGGGGTTTGAATAGGGACAATAGAAAACTTGAGACAGGACCAAGATTCGTGGAGTCAGCGAGAGAGATCTCTCACTAGAGGACTACATCAGGGAAGGGGGGCATCTCTTACAGGAACCAGGGGTGGGCTTAGCTTTGGTGAACCAACTGACTTCATTCTGTAGTTCTGGTGAAAAGCCAGCCTTTACAATTATCCTGTTCAGTTCTATTTCCTGCTCAGTACTAGCCCTCAGTACACAACACTCAGAGAGGCCCAGGTAAGCAAAGTTGCTCCATGGGCCCTTTAGACAGGGCAGTAGAGAATAGGGGCTCTGAGCACCTGCCAGTGTCTGCAGGTCATTGCTCAAGTGTGTGCCCCTAAATTCCCACCACAGAGACAGGATATATTCACAGATTTTATTCAATGTGGCTCCACCTTACATACTGTTTGAAATGCTAAAAAGCAGATAAATTAGGAAATGAGCCTTCCCCTAATATGCAGATTTGCTGTAGATTCTTTTTATTGGTTTCTCCATTTTACATGTTTCTATTAACAGAAGCTTAATTTACATAGAAAGTTTAGATACACCTCTGCTGCTTGCTGCAGGCATCTCCCACATTGACCAATCCATGACCGTGGGTAAACCTCCTTGGAATATCATGAGTAAAAAGTGTCTTTAAACAATTAAGTATTTGCCATGGTACAATTGGAACACATGGTACCTAATTGAGAAGGTTCAAAAATGTATTCATTGAAAAGCCCTAACAATGCCTTTAGCTAATGGCCCAGGGCAGCCTGCCCTGTAGGACCCACCAATCGCCTGGATGCCCTTCTAGAAACCCCAGAGAAGCTTTATGTAGCTTGTGTGAACAGTTCAGCTTTCCCCAAGCAAAGACATCTCCATCTATAACAATTGCATTTTGTAGGCAAAAGGACTGGATAAATTGAAAGGTATTATTTATTCAGACCCAGTTTTGTGCCACTATTTTGTAAACAGCCTGTTTTGTTTTTTTTTTTTTCACTTCACTCCAGTGACGGGAGCATCTGGCGTGCCAGAAAACAACCCACCTTGTACCGTGAACATCCCTATCGCACCCATCCACAGCTCAGCGCAAGCTATGTCCCCCACGCAGAGCATAGGGCTGGTGCAGTCCCTCTTGGCCAATCAGAACGTGCAGCTGGACGTCCTGACCAATCAGACCACGGCTGTGGGGGCAGCTGAGCACGCAAGTGAGAATGCCACCCAGTACCCGGGCTCCAACCGCTACTCCAACCCTGGACAGGTGATCTTCGGGGGCGTAGAGATGGGCCGTCTCATCCCCAATCCTCCGCAGCTATCCCTGCCACCACCTGCACAGGGGCCCGTCCAGCTGTCGGTGGTGGAGCATGGAGACCGCGAGCAGGAGCACCTGCAGAAGCCAGCCAAGGCGCTGAGGCCCGCGCCACAGCTGACTGCTGAGGGGGACGCCGTGGTATTCGGCACCCCCCAGGAGATCCAGGTGGCAAAGTTGAATCCCCCACCCCCCTATCCAGGAACCATCCCCGCAGCCCCCACCACTGCAGCGCCACCACCGCCTGTCGACGTGTGCTTGAAGAAGAGCGACTTCTCGCTGTACCCCACGGCAGTGCATTACCAGCCCCCCCTGGGCTACGAGAGGATCACCACCTTCGACAGCAGCGGCAACGTGGAGGAGGTGTGCCGGCCTAGGACGCGGATGCTCTGCTCGCAGAACACCTACACCCTTCCCGGCCCGGGCAGCTCGGCTACCCTGAGGCTCACTGCCACCGAAAAGAAGGTGCCACAGCCCTGCACCAGCGCGACCCTGAACCGCCTGACGGTCCCACGCTACTCCATCCCCACGGGAGACCCACCCCCCTATCCCGACCTGGCTGGCCCGCTGGCCTCCAGCCGGGTCGCAGCGCAGCGGCTGGATGGAGGCCTTATTCACGCCACACTGCGCAGAAATAACCGCGAGGTGGTGCTCAAGGCTGCGGCGCCCGCTGAGCCCCCACGGGCCCTGCCGCAGCACCCGCCCCTGCAGCACCCATCCAAGCCCAAGGGCGCAGCGCCGTTCCCTTCACGGCCCCCGGCAGCACTGTACACTTGCAGCCAATGCAGTGGTGGGGGTGCAACCGGGCGGCCCGAGCCGGGCGCCGGGGGTGCGCAGGCGGCCGGCACCTCCCCGCTGGCCTCGCAGTCCTCCTACAGCCTCCTGAGCCCGCCTGATGGTGCCCGCGAGCGCACCGACTATGTCAACTCAGCATTCACTGAGGACGAGGCGCTCGCCCAGCACTGTCCTGTGGAGAAGCCCCTGAGGCACCCAGCACTGCCTGAAGCTGCTGTGGCTGTGAAACGGCCACCCCCTTACCAGTGGGACCCCATGCTGGGGGAGGACATTTGGGTGCCTCAGGAAAGGACAGCACAGACTGGAGTTCCCAACCTCCTGAAACTGCCCCCTCTGGTCGTAAGTCAGAGCCAGCACCTCGATGTGTCCCGAGTGCCCTTTGTCTCCCCCAAGTCTCCCACCAGCCCCACTGCCACTTTCCAGACAGGCTATGGGATAGGAGTGCCCTATCCAGGAAGCTATAACAACCCCCCTTTGCCAGGAGTTCAGGCTCCCTGCTCCCCAAAAGATACCCTGTCCCCCACACAGTTTGCACAGCAGGAGCCCACTGTGGTCCTGCAGCCGGCCTACCCTCCCAGCCTGTCCTACTGCACCTTGCCCCCCATGTATCCCGGAAGCAGCACGTGCTCTAGTTTACAGCTGCCATCCATCGCCTTGCACCCCTGGAATTCCTACAGTGCGTGCCCGCCCATGCAGAACCCCCAGGGCACTCTCCCCTCCAAGGCACACTTGGTGGTAGAGAAGCCCCTCGTGTCCCCACCACCACCCACTGACCTCCAAAACCACCTGGGTACAGAGGTGATGGTAGAGACCTCAGACAACTTCCAAGAGGTCCTGTCTCTGACAGAAAGCCCAGTTCCCCAGCGGACAGAGAAATTCGGAAAGAAGAACCGGAAGCGCTTGGATAGCCGCGCAGAGGAAGGAAATGTCCAGGCTGTCACGGAGGGCAGAGTGAGGAAGGAGGCGCGGACTCTGAGTGACTTTAATTCCCTGATCTCCAGCCCCCGCCTGGGGAGAGAGAAGAAAAAAGCGAAGAGCCAGAAAGACCAGCTGAAGTCGAAGAAGTTGAATAAGACAAATGAGTTCCAGGACAGCTCAGAGAGTGAGCCAGAGCTGTTCATCAGCGGGGACGAGCTGATGAACCAGAGCCAGGGCAGCAAGAAGGGCTGGAAGAGCAAGAGGAGCCTGCGGACGGCCAGCGAGCTGGAGGAGTTTAAGTGCCGGAAAGCCAGTGAGAGGGAGGATGGGCGGCTGGGCAGCCAGGGCTTCGTGTATGTCATGGCCAACAAGCAACCCCTCTGGAACGAGGCCACCCAGGTGTACCAGCTGGACTTTGGGGGGCGCGTGACCCAGGAGTCAGCCAAGAACTTCCAGATCGAGCTGGAGGGGCGGCAGGTAAGGGTATCCCAGGACCTGGCCAGAATCGTGACTTCCTGATCTCTGTGGGTTTTTAAAACCAGGCAAAGGGTCCCAGTGCTTTGGCCTTTGAGGAACATTTTCCAAAGGCCACCTGGGAAATGTGGAAAACAACTAATCCTCTTAGATGGGGCCAATTGAGGTTCACTGGTGTGAATCCCCCACCTCTACTTTTCTTAGTTAAATCAGTAGTCACCCATTACCTAGTTCTGCCAGTAAATATGTTTCACACCTGAGCCACGTAGTAGGATTTCATTTCAATCCCTTTTTTATTGTATGGGGTATTTTTCCTAGACATAATTATTACTCAGTTGTGTTTGCTTATTTCTCTACATGTTTATTGTTAAGTCACTCCCCGGTTCTGTGGCAAGATGTACATCTCTTCTTAGTACAGTTAAACACAGTGGGTAATTTGTCAGTTCTTCCTGCTCTAACCCAGAACTCTTGCTCCAGCCCGGCTGCATAGCTGTTGTTCTGGGACTACCCTTCTCCACCATCCTGGGAATTCCTTTCACCTCTCATATTTAAATCCCACTTTCATTAATGCACCTGCTATATGCCTGGCAAGCTTCTGAGCCAGGAGTTGGCAAACTGGCCCATGGGCCAATCTGGACTACTTCCTCTTTATAAATACAGTTCTAACTGCTATAAGTACAGAAATTAGAGCATTGAGGAAAACCGAAAGGCCCTGTCCTCATGGAGTTTACAAAAATGGAAGAAAAACTTTAAACAAAAAACATTAATATAATGTCACAATTATGTAATGGTCACTGCAAGTACTGAAATGACAGAGGAAAGCAAGCTCGGGAGATGAGCATGATGGGAAGGAGGTGTGCTGTGTTCTCTCCCTCTCTGAGCAGTGACATTTGACAATTACAATTGATATTTCTCTCACACCTCTTTCAGCTTATAGATTCTTTTTTTTATTTTTTTCCCGTCTGTTTCCTTGGTGAGGAAACCACTTCATTTGACCTGTGGAGCTTCCCATGCCCTGCATTTTGCTCACTGTCTCCCCACTGTGTTGTTTAACATGTTCATCCATTCCTTTGTTTCTGACAAACTCGTAGTTAGATGTAGAAACCTGCCAGAGTCACTTTTGTTGGCAAAAATACCTCCTTAGATCATGCTATCTGCCTCCATCAGGAGCCGCACAGACCTAGTTGCCCTCTCCCACCTTTTCCTTTAATGTCTTCGCTTCAATGCCCCCCCTCCAGGTGATGCAGTTTGGAAGGATCGATGGCAATGCGTACATTCTGGACTTCCAGTACCCCTTCTCAGCTGTGCAGGCCTTCGCAGTTGCCCTGGCCAACGTGACTCAGCGCCTCAAGTGAAGAGCCTGACTTGGCGAGCAGAAAGAGACAAAGGAGCCTTTTCAGAGAGGTCTGATTGCAGATGCTAGAGGAGCCCACATGGGACCTGGGTGTCTGGGAGACCAGAACACAAGAGCAAACTGGAAAAGTCTTATCAGGCCCAGGAGAGGGCACTGACCTTTAGCGTTGTCGTTTGTTTGGGCTTTTTTATTCTTTATTGTCTGTCTTTCTTTTTAATCAAACAAAACAATACAGGAGAGAAGTATTTGGAAGCAAAGGTGCCAGGCACCTGGTGGTGTTTTTTTGGGAAACATACTTGCTTATGGTAATGTTCCACTGGGTTTGCTTATGTCAGCTATGGATGAGGGATCCTCAGAGGGAAGACAGACTGCCTTGTAGCCTGTTCTTCTTTTAGATTTAAGGAGTGTGCATTCTTCCCATCTCCACAGCATCACTAGTGTAAAAGAAAAAACCTCTTTAAAAACACACCAAAAATCCTGAAAGTACAGGTTCTCTTGAGGGGACATTTAATTCACATATGTTATGTTATGTTACTCCCCCAAAGGTGACTTGATTAATGAAGGGTATTTTTGCAAATGCACTATTTGACTAATAAAAGTAGGCTTTCTACTGGGGTGCTCTTACCAGGTATGGATATGATATGTTCCTGATGATGTGGGGGAAGAGATGATAGGTGAGAAGGAATCTCCTGCACATGGTCACATGGGCGACTTAACATAGTGTGACTTGAAACAGTACAAGGACTATGCTCCTCTCTGGAGGATGTTTACATTGAAGATTCCACTAGTTTTATAATATGTCAAAATTCCATAGGTTCAGTTTGACTGACGAGGTGAAAGTAGGAGAGAAATGTGGAAAGGTCCCAGTGGGGGAGGGGGGGGCTAGAGCCAGGTACTGGGTACCCGCTTGCTGAATAGTAACATGTATTCCCTCTCTCTTTACTGTTGAGTCTGGAAGTGTGACAGCAGACATCCTTCCCATCAGACAGCAATGTTCTACACTTTTTCTAAAAATGCTGACGATACTGATTTAAAAGTACTCCTTTCCTCTTCTCAGCTATGTTAAAATTCAATTGACTAGAAATGTTTTTCAACAGATTAGAAATGTAAGCAAAAATTTTTAAGCATTTACCAGGGTATTAAGAGGTAGAGTTATAGTCAACCTTTCACAGAAGTCCCACAGTCTTCTCCAGGAAAACAATTTATTCACTGTACAGACTGTTCACAGAGGAGATGACCCTCTGAGACAGCACGGTTAAAACTGAAGGATTTAAGGTAGTTGGCTGACTACTGCTGGTTAATTGAAAAAAAAAAAAAAAGTCCACTGTGATTATCTTTTCCCACCTCACCCCGTGCTCAGGGGACACCTTGGGCAGTGTTTAGCCCCGGTGGCAAGACCCACTTCATTGCTCTCGTCTGCGATGTTGTTTAGGGCAGGAGCACAAGAACTAACCTACATTTGGATTTTGTTTGAAAACAGAAAAGTGGAAAATAATACAGAAAAGTTATTTTCAAAAAATTTCTTAATTCCATGTTTTGGTTTAAAAATATGTTTTTAATTCCCTGTTTTGGCTTAAAACTTAGAAAAGGAACTGCCCCATTCCTTTCACAGAGCAAGGTGACATCCATGACCCACCATTCTCTCTAGCCCCCAAAGAAACACAGATAAGATTTTTAAATATGGTGAAGGACATCTCCCAGTCAATACCAGAGCTTCCCATCTTATATTTTAAAATATTTAACCAGATTCTTTGGTGGGTAAATTCTTCCAAAAAGAATTTAATAATGTATTCAGATTTATATAATTCTTTTATGTGAGTTTTTGTAGCTTGATATGTTGTTTCAGTGGTTATTATTAGTTGTGCAATATCGTTATAGCCTATTTCTAAAATAATTTAAATGCAATTCTGTTGTATTGTCCAAGAGATAATTATTTATCTTGCTTTAATAGTGTTCTTAGGAATTACTTTATTACTATGTACTGGTGAGTTATGCCCATGTTATAATTTATTTAGAAAAGTAGTATGTTTATAACGACTTCCTTGGTAGCAGTATATTTTGCTGCAGGAAATAAAGAGGATATGAGAGGGGGTTTTTGCTGGACAGTTTGTAAATTTTCTAATGGGGCAAACATGTCTGTTAATCCTTTAAAAGTTTTTTTTTTCTGCTTTTTGTGGTACTGATTATATACAAAGGAGATTTCTTTGAGATAACAGATCCTAAAATATTTCCCGTTCTTTTGAAAATTTTGTTTTTAATTAAAAACAAAAGGCTCTATGAAATGAGAAGAGACTTATTAGAATGGGAGTAGCAAAGGAAGGAATTATTAGTAATAAGTCAGTTTTTAAAATTCTGGTTGGTTTTTGAGATATAAAAGGGGGAGTACTTTTTAGGACTTCTCTTAATAAGAGCAAATATAGGGGGAAATCCTTGGAATTAATGCTCCAAATACATGTGTGAAGATAATGTATTTGTAGCAAATAATTAACCAACTTTACTAAATTCTTAGCCCATTCCCCAAAAGGCATTTGCCCACGTGGAGACAGAGACCTCCGTCTTGGATGTTTCACACACATGAGTGAGCCTCTGAATGAGCAGCGCTGCCCCGCCCTGCTCAACAGGCCCAAAGGAGCAGGTAATTTCAGATGCCAGATCTATTTAAACAGATGTCTGCAGCAGTGCAGTGTCTTTTAAGTTAATGGTGATGGCTTTACTTATTTTAAACATTGTTTTCATTCATTCAGTTTCAATTTGTTAAGTACTACTAAAGTCAGTACTTTAAGCAGCAGAATTCTACATACTTTATGCTTATTGGTAGCAATTTATGAATATTAAGATACCTCATTGAATCTCTACATATAAAAATATTAGCCCAGTAAACAGTCAACTACGTAAAAAATCCATGCCTTTTTGAAGGAAGCAGTATATTAACAAACATAAAAAACAATTTTAAATTTGTCTTAACTCTAACCTCATCAAACCAAAGGCAAAGATTTGTATACAGTCCATCCACTGAATGTATATTCTGAAAAAATTGGTGCAAAAGAAGCAGGAAATGTCAAAGCTCGAATGGCAGTAGACGTCAGGATTGTGCAGGTTAGTATTTTTCATCCATGCCCATTGCTCCCTCGTCGAATGTCCCAGGAAGACATGGGAAAATGTGTACATTCATCCTGTAATCAGAGCAGAAAGTTAGGAACCCAGAATCGAGCCTGCTCCTCCACAGAGTTGGAGGATGGCCTTGAGCCTCCATTTGTCCATCTATAAGATGAAAGGGATGACCTGGACAATCTTCTAAACTTCCGTCCCACTCTAAAAGCCTGAGGGCTCAAAATGTGACCTATGGCTCCACTTTACACACTCGGAAGGTATGTTTCAAAACATTGCCTCTTGTAGAGAAATGTTTCTTTTCCATGTTAATGAGCTGTCTTCTGAATGTAAATCAGGGCATTTAAAATAATATCTTCAGAACATTCACCTCTAGAAAAATGCATCTGGAATAGTGTTCGTTTTCATAAAATTACACAAAAGCACTGGCTCCATATAAGACAGAGGAGCCTCCCCACGAGTATGCCCTGCTCAGTGGCCGTCCTTGAGAATAACCCTAAAGTAACTCACCACATGCCCCAAAGACCATCGAGTGGGTTGAAAAAAGACAAAGGAGTGTAGGCCTAGGCCGTCTTGAATTCTTGAGCGTGCTCTGCAGTGTTAACGCTACCTTCAAGTGTAGGTTTCTGGAAAAGGAGCCCTTTGTGTCCCTGTGTGGCCCATCAATCACTTGGCCAAGTCAATGGTTGTGAACAAGTTAGTTGAGACAAAATGTGTCAAAAATGTTGTCTGAGCTCCTGGGGTTTTGTAATAGCACACAGCTCAAAACTTCACCATTTGTGTATTTTATCTTTGGCTGAGAAAAGTCTGAAGGGTTGTGGCTTATTTTGTTTTCATTTCTTTGGCTTTGTGCAATTTTCTTGTAACTTTATTTGTACCTACATTTCCTGTTTACAAGTTCTTTTAAAGGGGAGGGGGAGGGTTCTAAGATCTCATTTATTGTAGATAAAAATTTTTTTTCGTGTTGTAGAAAAGCATGGGTTATGCATTTGACTGAAAAAGGCACTGTATTTACCAAAGGGGTATTGTTTTTGCATTTTTTTATAAATGCATTATTTTGGTACTGTAAATTTGGACATAATTTCTGAGTTTATTACTACTGGCATTTTCTTTCTTCTTTTTTTTTTTTAACTGTAAGTGCACGATGCAGGTGCACAGGTCTCAGACCAAACCAGACCACCAGCATGTCCTTGTCCACACCTTGGGGATGGTGCACTGCCCTGTGTGCCTCAGTTCCTCTGGTGTTGGTTTGTATGTTTTCAGTTCAGCATCCTGCTTTGTTTTACTTTCCAAGCAAGATCTTTTGAGATTCTCAATTGCATTCTAATGAGCTCACCCTGATTTGCCGCTCTTCTTACGTATTTTGTGTATTAGATTGTGAGGGAGGTGTTCTAGAAGGCATTCATGGTTTGCATTCAAAGTGGTGTGGTTTGTCCAAGTTATTCTCTGTCTTTATTATTGAGATGGATTAATCTCCTTATTTTTTTCTTGATGATTTGAAGTCGTAAGAGTTGTCCAGCTATTGCTTAATAAAATTTTGCAGATCAAAAAAAACCCAAATCAATTGCTTGTGTGCAGAAACCACCACTCTCCATTGGCCTGACCCCACCCTCCAATTGCTTCTTTGATCCCTGGGTGACTGCCGATGGTTAACACCCTGAGATTTACTGTCATCCCTCTTTCTGAGAGGTCAAGGGTTGTGCTATCTTCCTGATGAATTGGTTTGATTTTGTGTTTGCTTTTTCATTTGTTTAAGGAGGACCCACTCAGGATGCAGCTGTCATCGCACCTACAAAGTCAGAGGTGCTAAATGCACCAACACCTCTGCTACTTTGTGGGACACTTACCAAAACTAGGTTTTGAACAATTCCTGTATTAAGTGCTGATGTAACTGCGAATTGTTGTTATTACTAATGAGTCTTAGTGCACCTCCTCGCTGTGCCCAGGGGAGGGAGTCAGGGGTTTGGGGTCATGGGAGGCTCATCCGTAAACAATATGGTTCACGTGTACATTTACAGAACTACACCTTTGCTTTTCTCAGAGATAAAAACAGACATGCAATTACTCAGGCTTAGGAGACAGAACCACAAACCACTGTCATGTCTTAAATTCTAAGCATGCATTAACTTTAAAAATAATCATAGGACTATAAATCCGTGCTTTAAATAGTAGTAGTAGTCATACAAGGCTAACTGACCTGAATTTTGTATAAGAATCAAAATATCTTTTATTATGAAAGTTTGTGAACTTCACATTAATGTTCATTGTATCTTTATCACTTAAACCAGGTAGCAAGGAGACCTGGTTGAAAACAAACCCCCACTTTCCCTCTCCCCAAAAATACAAGGGGAGACCAAAACCTTAATAGCAGCCTGGGGCTGGGGCTATGCTAAGGGCCCATGGTCAGCTTTGGGCCATTCATTCAGTGTGAGTCAGCGTCTCCAGAAGTGATCTGTTTTTAAAGCCCTGGTAAGAAAACAGCCAATTCATTGCCTTCTACAAACTTGCTTTGAAAAGGACGCGTGCTCTGTTTTATTCTCGTGCTCAGTGTTCTTTCCCTGGGAGTGTTAAGAGAATAGGGAACCAATTTAGCTCTCGTACTCTCACCCCAGAAACTCATGGCAGAAGAGAATGCCTGCCTCACGGAGACTGCATTGCAGTTTCACAGGAGTGCACCACTGAATCCCCCAGCTCCATTATGCAGTGGATACCTTCTGCCTGCCTTTCCTTTCAGGAGAAAATTGAAGCATTGAGAAGTTGGTGGTTTCTGGATACCATAGACAAAAAACTATCTGAAACAGAATCTAAGATTTCTGGGTCACATTAATGAACAGACCTAGTTTATTTCCAGCTTCTCACTCTGGTGTTTCATAATGATTTGCCTATAATGAGCTATGAGCTACTTACACTTAGTCATCTCCCGAGAAAGGCAGAATCAAGGCGGGCAACCCTCGCCCGGCAGCAGGTGAGCTCATCCTCCCTGCAGCTGAGAGCGCTGGTTCACGGGATGTCAGAGTGAGCATGTGACTCCCAGGCTGTGTTACTCACCTGGGTGCCACAAAGGAGCAGGTCTTCGATTTGTTTCTCTGCATATCTTAGAAGCAGTTGCTCGATGCACTAGTGACTATGAAACCACCCACGTGAAGAATAGGCCCATTTTCTGAATGTGCTTAAAGTTCCCGTTGGAATGATGGCTTCAGCTATGGAAGGTGCACCAGTGTAGAAGCAGGACCTCGGCAGGAAAATAGGTACATCTCATGCCTGATGCTTTCCTTCTGGGTTTCCTGCTCTTGCTCTGTTCCAGGCACTTTCTGAACCCATTTTCACCACATGCACAACTACAGCTCCCTCACCCCACGAAAAAGATGGAAGCGGTGAGTGGGGGCCTTGGAAGAGAAGGCTCGCACGTGGCAGTATCTCAAACTGCTAATCAAGTTGCCTCTCCCAGTCATGCCAGCCACTTCCCACCATCTTCAACCATTAGGGTATGGGAGCAACTGTGGGCTTACTGTTTCCACCTTTCTCCACAATGGGACAAAGTGGCAGTCCTGACACCACTCCCCATTGCTTGCAGGGCACCAAGGCTCACCGTGTCCTTTTGGTTTGGCCTCCAACTCATTCAAGTGGTCTGTTGTTTCTCCTTTCCCACGAGTTCCTCAGTGTTTCTTGCCTTCCAGGTGCCACTTTGAGGGTCTTGTATGAACCATCTTTCACAATCTTGCCCTTTAACCCTGTCGTGGGTGCAGTCCCTGTTATTAAAAGGAGAAATCCCTGACTCCCTGTTCTGCTGAGCTGGTGTGACAGACCCGGGCTTCACCCTGCTATATTTTCTCTCTGTTCCCAGTAAAAACGCAAGCAGCCCAGACACCACGGAACTTGAGACACGAGCATGTAATGTACTCCTCCTGGAAGGAGTGTCCTCCAGTCAGTCACTTCTTCCTGAGGCTGACCCCCCAGCCTTGGGAGGGGGGTCCTGCATCCTTCCCTCTGGGACTCCTACTGACCACAGAGGCTCTTAAGTCCTGGGATTATGATTTCCCACAGGTACAGATTCCTTTGTTTTAGATCCTGAGAGGAAGCATTCAAGCAGGTTTTCGTGGATGCGGGGACTGAGAGCAATGAGATTATGGAGCACATGAAAAAGATCCCGGGGAAAAATGGGGCACTCGAGAAAGGAGCAAGAGAAAAGGCAGCTTCTCATCCAGCCCGCTTTGGACCTCAAAAGTATTGCCTGCGGGAGTGTGTCTGTGAGACAGGCAGGTGCCCTTCCCTGCCCTAGTGCCCTGGTGCTGTTACCCAGAGAGATGGCAGGGAATACAAAGCAACTCAGAGCCAGTGCCCATTGAACGACCACCCCAACCGAGGCACCAAGTGCTTGGTTTGATGGTCCCAGATCGCAATCGCAGGCCAGCACTAGCGCTCTCATGGGCTGCACCCCAGTGGGTCTCCCCTGGCTTCCAGGGCTTGCCTCCTGGGAATGAGCTTAGAAACATGCTCTTTTCCAGTATCCACACCTCTGACAGGTGCCCCGCTCCTGGGAGGATGAGGCATAGTGAGTGCAACAGACTTTTAAGGGGATCAGCCAAGTTTCTCCACAAACAGCTCCCAAGAACCCTCAGACCAGACCACACCACACCAGCCACTTGAGAAGGTCGTATTCTAAAGACCCGCTGGGTTCCTGGCCTGTGGCGCTCAGGGTGGGTTCCGCTGGCAGGCAGTCAGAGCAGTGAAGGTTGACTCCTCGTTCCCAGGGTCCCTGCGGCACCCCCACCCTGCCAGGCAGTGACAAGTGGCATAGGGCGCTGACACCAACCCAGCCTCTCTCCTTTCTTAATGTTTTCGTCATGTGGGTCTTGAGATGCTACTTCCAAAATGTGATTTTCTTAATGTGGAATAAAGGAGTAAAATTGGATTTGAAAATAATTTTTATAAACCAGCCAGAGGTGAGTACATTTGTGACAAAAGACTTTTATGTGGAGCCTCATGCTTTTTTCCCCCTCAGGATGCTACAGAGACACAGCTAAAAATTTAATTTACTAAAGTCATCTCTCTAAATGGCACACACAGCACAGGAATGTACAGCTTATGTTATGTGTAGCATCCAAAAAAAAAAAAAATGCAAAAATGACCCCAACAACCCAACCCTGTAATGACAGCAAGTTCAACCCCATGAGAAAGTCTTCCGTAACATAAGTACCTTCTCACATGCCCTTTGTGGGAAGGTCTGGGACCAGTTTAGGAAATGTGAGGCAGAAAGTCTTAGTGACTTTGCTCAGAGCCAGGCAGTGTTGAAAGAGCCAGGAGAACATCTCTTTGAAGGGCTCCTGTGGAGCTTCATAAACGACAGGACAAGCACACCCCAGAGTGGAAGCAAGCACTTCACTGTGGAAACGCTGTCTAGGGAAATGACTCCCCAACCAGCACCCAGTCTGTGGCCGAGAGCTGGCCTGGACATTTGTTCCCAGCCTTTCCTTGCAGGCAGCTCCCCGCAAGGGACATCATCATGGTCCACAGTCAGAGCCCTGACCCAGACGTCTCAGTGAGTCAAAATTCAGGGGACAGGGCCACTCTCCAGGACAGCTGATGGTCACCAGAGAGCCTGAGCTGCCAGGAAGCAGACCTGCCTGGAGCAGGAGGGTGGGAGATCCCCAATGGAGTGGTTGTAAAGGCCTCTGGTCCAAGAGGAGGATCAGAGAGGACAGCGTCCCAGTTTCCCACACTGGCCACCCTCCCAAGGGAGGAAGAGCCGATCTTCAAGCCTCCCACGCCAGCAGCGCCGGGCAGCGAGCTGCACAAGAGGAGTGGGGCCTGCCCCAACCTCCCCCCTCTCATGCCAGCTGCCCTGCACTGAAGCGCTCCAGGCGGCCTGGTGCCCCGCAATGCTGGGTCATCTCCCCGGGAGGTGCTCTGTGCTGTGCATCTTTGGAACTGCAAGGATACAGGTAAGGGGGTGGGGACGAGTCAGCAGGATTTGGGCATGCATACCCCCAGGCATCTTACTTAGATACAGTTTAGGTTTTATTAAAAACTTTCAAAGTATATGTCCTTAACAAACAGTGCTAAGCGCACAACCTGCCTATGCACGCGTTGGAGGGCAGAGCTCCATTGAGATTGAACTTGCATAGAGAGCCCTTGGGAAAGGCTGGGTCACAGGCCCTCTCACATTGACGGTATGGAAAGGATTCTGGGTCAGCGACAGTACCTGGTTGGGTAAGACACTAGCCAGGGGATTGAGGAGAGGTGGCCAGGTGTAGTGTGAAGGCTGCTGCTCTGAGAGCCAGGAGATCAGGGAAGCTTATCCTGCATCTATCACTGACATTGTGCAACCTCCATAGGCCACTCAACTCTGGGCTTCATTTTGTTCAACTGAAAAATGAAGAGACTGGGCTAAGTATTTCCCAAGGCATAGTCCATACTTCCCTAGGAATTGTGCACACTGATTAAAGCAAAACAGGTTTCCTTTACTGTAGGATTTTTCCTTTACTGTGTGCTAATGTGTTCTGCCTGATGACCACCAAGGAGAAGGAATCATTGAAAACCCAAAGCAAATCTATTTCCTC